ATTGAATGGAAACAGTATTTGGCGCTCAGAACTAGCAAGTATCATGCTTTTTCAAATAATGTTATCTATGACTGATAATGTAAGTTTAGATAAACTAAAACTTTATTGCTATTTGTATACCATTCTCTTTTGTACTTCAATTCTAAACAATTCCAAGACTGTCTTGATTTTTAAGAACCACAATCATAGCTAAAAACATATTCCTTTTGAAATAAGACTTTCTTAACTCTATAAGCAACTTTCTTCTTTTTCTCCTACCCAGTCAAACATCCCCATTTTCCTGAAGTCTTGCTGTCCTCTAGTGGTGAAGGGCCATGACATTTAGAATTATGGGAGCTTTTAAAAGTCCTCTCCTTCATTACGATTTTCATCAGTTCTGTAGGTAATTTTCAAGCCTCTCAAGAAATGAATTCTTGAAAGAAGCTGCTGATCTCAGCTTGATAGACTATAATAAAATTACTGAGTGAAATGTAGTAAGTTCAATAGCTATTTGAACTTGTAGCCATGCTCCAAGACAGAATTTGCTAGGTAATTTACAATTAACCAACTGTATATTGTTTTATTTTTAGCTCAGGAACAAAAGTCAGACTCATTAGAAATTCTCATCAAACATTCCTGTAAACATATATTGTCTTAAGACTTTAGACAACATATCCAGCACATTTCTTCAGACTTCAGTTGCAGTCTTATGTTACGAAGGAGAAGATTATGACCAAGTCTTGTTTATAAATGTAAACTAAGTTGATATCTAATGATGAACTGTGATCAGTTTCTGGGACATTCCCACATACAGCACCTCAGATTACCAGAACCCCAGGTACACAATTTCATGCTGCGTCACTGAAAGACTGTGCAAACGTGCAAGTCAGTCATACGATGGATGTAACCCCAGCCATGCTGGGGCATATAAAAGAGGGGAAGGAGGACTGACCGCCCCATCTTCTAGCAGCCATTTCCTCAGCTGCATAAAATGTCTCTGCCTCTTTTTTGCCCCAGGACCGCACTGTCCAGTCATCGTGCTTGGGGAATCATGGAAGTGCTGATGAGCTGCTGCTTAGCACACTGGCCTGAGAGCAGGACAGAGGCAGATGCCTTTCATGCAGGTGAACAAAATGCAAGTGCTCCTATCAGTGGCCACCACTGAAAAGAGACCATCACTGTCCTCTGCACTCCCTCCCTTGAGGTATTTATATACACTGATTAGATCCCCTCTCAGCCTTCTCTTCTCCAGGCTGAACAGGCCCAGCTCCCTCAGCCTCTCCTCATAGGGCAGATGTTCCAGGCCCCTGATCATCCTCGTAGCCCTCAGCTACATAAAATGTCTCTGCCTCTTTTTTGCTCCAGGACTGCACTGTCCAGTCATTGTGCTTGGGGAATCATGGAAGTGCTGATGAGCTGCTGCTTAGCACACTGGCCTGAGAGCAGGACATATGCCTTTCATGCAGATGAATGAAATGCAAGTGTCACAGAAGGACTGAGAAAACAAAGTACCTCTCATGCTCAGAGCTTAAGATCTGGCAAGTTTAGACTTTTTTGGAATGATAATAGTGCTAGATTCAAAAAAATGGTCCTCTCAATTGGAAGATTCTCACTGACTTGGCTGTATTTTACACCAGGCCTCATGCTATGCGAAAGTAAGAAGCGGACTGAATAGACAAGTCAACTCGCTTATCCAAGCTTGTGCTTAAATGCACAGACTAGTTAGAGTACTGGAAAAAGCCAACCAGCTAGTGAAGAACAGCCCCATAACAGGTAACCTTTCAGAGCATGGTCTTCATCATCACTAAAAAGAAGGAGGCGAAATATATGCTCTATGACAAAACTGATCTTTTAAAAAATACCATGCTACATCCTCTTACCACATGTCCACAGCAGAGCTCTCTTAATCATGTTGTGGTGGATAGAGATATTTTTAAATAACAATTGGCATTATAAAAAATGGTTAACTTGATTCAGTGCAGGCACAAACAATTTAATAAGGATTTATGAACATACTTTTCTTCTGCCTGTGGTATATGATCTTAAAAGTTACTCCAAAGTCTGAATTAAATAGAGGATGGTGTGTAAAAGTTTCTTCAGCTGTTTTTCACTTAAAGCATCCTCTGTTTTCATATCATTACTAATATTTTTTAATGGGTCGTCAATCTGTGGTAACCTATAATCTCAAATCATATTCTTCTTACCTTGCTGCTTCTTGGCCCTGTATGTTAAATTTTACAAGAATACAGGGGTAATAACACACTGAATATATTATTTTGTTAAAAATTCTTTCACTAATTTGGAGCTGAATGTACTAGTATATGTAAAAAATAAAGCAATTCTGTTTCCATCAGAGCTACACATCTACTTTCATTTTAAAATTTATAAAAGATGCTGCACAGGGCAAACTCAAAAGATCCTGAAACCAACCTTCTTTCAGAATTACAGTTCTTGCAGCTGTAGTTATCTCTAAGGGACAGATGCATAGATCCATGGATTTTGCTTGATAACATTCAACAGTTCCTAAAATGAAATAAAGTCAATATTACAAAAAATACACAATAAAGCATTCAGCAATAAATGGATATATTAACGAGAAAAGCAGTGGCAATGCCCTTACAGATATCATGTAGATAATTTTAAACTTTAGCCCAGCAGATTTGTATTTAAGAGGAAATGAAGTTTTAACAATGTTCACACCAAATAGTCTGCGCTGTACAAACACTGTCGAACCAAAACAGAAATCCATGGGCTTCGAAGTCACCTATCAAAAAAAGACCCTCAGTGTGAGGAGAATTCTGGTAGAACGGTTGTTCTCTGGTACATCAGGAATATGGATTGTATATGCACCACAAAAGGGCGGGAAGAAAAGTTAAGTTTTCAGAGGGACCAACTGTATATCTGGCTATGTGGTTTCGAAAAAATAAAGCAATTCTGTTTCCATCAGAGCTACACATCTACTTTCATTTTAAAATTTATAAAAGATGCTGCACAGGGCAAACTCAAAAGATCCTGAAACCAACCTTCTTTCAGAATTACAGTTCTTGCAGCTGTAGTTATCTCTAAGGGACAGATCCATAGATCCATGGATTTTGCTTGATAACATTCAACAGTTCCTAAAATGAAATAAAGTCAATATTACAAAAAATACACAATAAAGCATTCAGCAATAAATGGATATATTAACGAGAAAAGCAGTGGCAATGCCCTTACAGATATCATGTAGATAATTTTAAACTTTAGCCCAGCAGATTTGTATTTAAGAGGAAATGAAGTTTTAACAATGTTCACACCAAATAATCTCTGCTGTACAAACACTGTTGGACCAAATACAGAAATCCATGGGCTTCTAAGTTACCTATCAAAAAAAGACCCTCAGTGAGAGGAGAATTCTGGTAGAGCAGTTGTTCTCTGGTACATCAGGAGCATGGATTGTATACGCACCACAAAAGGGCGGGAAGAAAAGGTAAGTTATCAGAGGGACCAACTGTATTTCTGACTATGTGGTTTCGGTGGTGGAAAGCAGTCTTGCTCCTTTAGTGTTCAAGTCAAGAAGGAGCTTTACAAACCACAGGTTCTCATCCGACTGATAAACAAATCTCACCCATGAATTGACCTAAAGCCCCTCTATATTGGATAAATGACAAGAATGTTAAATATGAAGCTGCTGAAATATTCCAAATGTCTGCCCTAACTGATGAAGAACTTCACAACATAATTCACTCTTGAATGACTAGGGGTTAGCCTGCTCCTGTGGAAGGTTAAAAAGTAAAATAAGATTATAGGGACATTTTTGAAGAACTTGATCTGATAATTTCTCTGTTCATAAATTTTCAGGATCAATTTATTTTTGAAAGCTAAGATTGCTTGTCCTCAGATTTTCTGAGGCATGATTTCAAACAGCTGTACACAGATATGAACACTTGCATGTCCTTCTGAATTGTACTAATGGGTAATTTAAACCAATCTTTGTAAGTTTACAAATTAGATGTTGAAGCAAGCTATTTAAATTTCTACACATTAGAAAAAATAATCCATGAATAACAGGGAAGCAGTGTAATTTCTAGAAATTTAGAATTTCTAGAAAGGCTTCTGTTAATACAGAATCTGCTCCCCATAAAATCCCTGCAAAGCATCTGGAGTCAACACTAGAAATACAGCATCTACAGATCTTCCAAAATATTTGTTTCTGTCGAGTAGAAAGAATTAGAAAGAATCCAGGAGTTTTTACAATGCTGCACGTTTTACTCTAGGCTTAAAAGCTGGAGATTTTGACTTTCATCAACTCAGAACATGAGAAGAATTCCGTTCAATCAGCAGTTCTCACTTTTTCTTCTTCAGTGCATGCTAACTGCTCTCAAAAATCACTATTTTGGGTGCTAAGGAGAATCCCACGCAGGGTCCCCATCTGGTAAAGATCTAGGTATTGGCACCGGACCTGGGAGTCCATCCAAGTCCACAGGGCTGGGATGCAGGGGCTTCTCCAGGCGGCAGTGGGCAAAAACATCCCTCTCCAAAACACCTGCTGGGGAGCCCGCCACCTCCTGCCTCAGCATTTTCACGAGAAAAAGGGTTTTGCTCTCCAGGTTCACATGATTCCCCCCAATACATCCACTTTCCCCATATCTGGTGGGAGCAACTTTCCAGGTCAGCTTCTTTTTTAAAAAGTTTGTTTATTTATTTATTTATTTATTTAAGACAAACTAAAAGCCCGGATTTTTCCAGAGAGAACTTCCTCTCCCCGCGCTGCCCCGCGGGGCCCTCCCCAGG